CCCCAAAACCCCAAAACCCCATGATTGAAGCATAGATTAATTTAGCAGAAGAACACATATAAGTTTCAATGAATTAATTATAATTAACTTCTTTATAATACTAATGTCAGAAGTAAAATAGCAACTTAAAAAACGATTAGAGAATTTGATCTTTGAAAAATAGCAGAGACTTAACTAGTTTTACGATGAGTAAAGTCAAGAGATTGCAGCTTTAGAAGCAACCAAGATTTAAAAAGCAAATCATAGATTAGCTAGAATCAATAATTTCTCATTATCTTTGCCCTTATCTCCCTAAGAAAAGACTTTTAATTAGGCTTAAGTTACTTGATTGGCTAAATAGTTTGAATAGACAGGTGAGCTTAAAAACTTCAACCCAGAGGAGGAGTAGACTGATGTTCAAAAGGCGAGGCGATCGCAAAAGAGAGGCAGAAATTTAAGATCCTCTGGCCTTAGAAAGCAAACTCATTAAAGTGTGATCGTTGATAATGATGATCATGTCAGTGTGAATGGGGCAAATACTGGCTAAAACTTGAGAAAAAATAAAAGAAGAAGCAAGCAAGAATTGGTGGATGAGATAGTGTTTCAGTCCTACTTCAATGAAATAACAAAAGTATACGATGAGGAAAAAGGTGGATACAAGTCACTTTTGTATACTGCAAAGTGTTTGATGGATTAACCAATCAGTCCAATTCACAATAAAAGACAATTAATCCTAAGGAAGAACAAAAATATCCAGAAATCAGATAACTAGAGCAGTCTTACCACAAACAAAACTAAGCAAATGATTAACATAGTGATCAATAATAACGAAAACTCTTCAAAACTTTTACCACAAAAGCAACTAAGTGAGTTGACCTCTGATATAAACTAATGCTCAACAGCTATGGTATCTAGCCCATAATCACAATCATATGCTCTCTTTAGTCCACTGAACTCAACTCACTCTAAAAATAATAGGAATAATCAAAGCATGACAAAACTGCAAATGATTATGAACAATCAAGATATCAGTCACTTGGCTACTCAAACCCCCAGCAAAGCCAGACCTATGACTGCTTCTCACAAGAAAAAGCAGATGAACAGGTATATCAACAATAGCTATATCATTAAAAATCAGTCAAATAAGAACATTTATCTAAACACCAAAGATCGAAGTAGAATGGAGGACTAAGATTAAATGTCTCAGTCAGCACTCTTCACATTAAATAACGAACAAGGCATATTTCAGTAAGTGCAATCTTCTGGTAGCATATTCTTGAAAAATAAAACCACGATATTTTAAGAGCGTGAAAGATCTCTTAGTAAAAGCCCTACGAAAATCTCAGCTCCTGATCACAAAAGAACTCAGAGAAGTTTAATGAGCAGAGACACCAGAGCCAGTAATAAAAATTTAAAGAGTGGAGGTATTGTTCGTCAAATCTCACAGAATCAAATTGAATAAATTACTCAAGATGACGAAAAACTCCTGAACAGTGAAGAGATATAGGAGATATTCAATGCAAAGCTCAAAGACCTGGGGTTGGACTATAACCTGCATTAGGATCAGTTTCAAAGATTCGATATCTCAGTCAATTATACCTGTATCAACAGGAAGCTAAAGCTAAGAGATGTAAGTATAATTCTTGATTCCTAATCAACTTAAATAGTTTGGATTAGGAATTAATTCTGCTACTGTGATTTCAGAAATCATATTAAGAAGGTTAGAAATGAGGATGGAGAATATAGCTTAAATTGACTTGAACAACAACAATTTGAGAGATGAGGGTGTAAAGATATTGAGCTCAGCAATCAAGGATTTAAGATCACTGGTGCATTTAAGTGTAGCCAGCAATGAAATCACAGCCAAGGGTTGCAAGTATTTATGTGAAAGAGGACTCATTGAGAATGAGAACTTAGTCAGTTTAGATATCGGCAGTACAGATGGCTTGGGAAGAAATAGACTGACTTGGATAGGTGGTCAGTCTATTTCGAAATTGCTATAACAGGACACCAATAATATACAGTTGCTCAAAGTTGGTGGAAGTAACCTTGGCAATAAAGGAGTTGATAAGATATTAAGTGCTTTGATGAGAAAGAAGAATATCAGGATAATAGATTTGGACTTGCAGAAAAATGAGATAGATTTCTCCCCTTATGAAACTAATAAATTGTCCAACATCATTTCAAATGCTTTTCAGTTACAATCCTTGAACATTTCATTTAACGCTATTGGTGATGACACTCTGATTTAATTGGCAGATGTATTTACCAACTTGAGGAGCATTAAGAAGTTTAAACTGACTTGTGGACGTTTGACAATCAGAGGCATTTCTAGATTCCTTTGTGAAATCTAGAATTGCATATCTCTCTAGGAGTTAAGTTTTGATTAAAACGATTTCAAAGCAGACTTCAGTCTGTGGGATGAGAACTAGAAAAAGTAACTCTAAGAAATTCAAGAATTTTTCACTCGAAACACAAAGATCAAGAAACTAAACTTTAAGAATTGCAAAATGAATGACTTAGTGTGTAAATCCATTTGCAATGGACTCCAGAAAAACATAACATTACATAGTCTAAATCTCTCCTATAATTAGCTTAGTGATCTATCTGCAATTGAGTTAGCTAAGGTACTACTCAGTGGTAAATCTGGGCTTACACATCTAAAGATGCAGTGTAATAAACTCTATGATGTCTCAGCTATTGCTTTATCGAATGCCATTAAGAAGTAAAAATATATGACCACTTCTTTAAAATATTTGGATATCTCTAACAATATGATATAAAAAGATGGAGCATACGCTCTAAAACAGGCTATTGACATAAATAATCGCATGATTTTTTTGAATCTGCAAATGAATGTGTCTATACCCTATGGGTGTCTTCTATAAATAGAAAAGACTCTTAAGTTTAACAATTCACTGATTGAGACATAAGTGGTACCAACATTCAAAAATGAGATCAGGTAGTTAAAGGAGCGGAATAAAACTGGGAATATCAACAGAGTCTTTGATGAGATCAAGAATGCGAACACACAGAGATTGTCAGAGCTTAGAGCTTGCAGTATATTAGAGAAAACCTGTGAAAGTGCCCAAGCTGCAGATGGTTTGATTAATAAATAGTATGAAGTGCTTAGAGATGAAAGTTAAGTTATTTATGAACTTGATAGACAGCTAGAATATCAGCTGAGAGAGCTGGATAATAGAAAGGTCAGAATCTTTGAAAAATCTGAACTTGCAATGAAGAAATTTGAGAAGGACATCAGAGATACTAAGTAGTTAATGCAGGATGACTTATTTGAGATTAAACGTGCCAAGTCTATGCTGAAGAATAAGAAGGAGTAAATCAATGAAGATCTCTAAGAGTATCGTGATACACTAAAAATAGTCTTGAAGAAGATTGAAGTCTAGGAGTTCATGATATCTGGCAAGGAAAGAGAGATAAAGGAGATCTAGTCTGAGATAGACAAATGGAGAGTTATACAAGAGCAAAAAGAATAGCAGAAAATCTTGGAGTAAAACCAAAATTTTTTAAAGAAACTACAAAAGAAAAGGCTTACAGCTGCTAAACTAACTACCAATGACCTGGGAGGCATAAATGCACATCTTTAGTTGCTTCAAGCTTATGCTAATGAAAGTAGCGACGAAGATGAAGGGAAGTCTAAGAAAAGGAAATCCAAAGGAGGGAAGTCCAAGAAGAAAAAGAAGAAGGGGCAATCACCCACACTTCTGGATAAATGATTAAATTAACTTATTGCTTTATATGAATTGTTATATGATTATGCTTAATATGATAATTTTTAATTTCTTAAAATAACTAATTCAGATAATAATTCATCATGGGGTTTTGGGGTTTTGGGGTTTTGGGGTTTTGGGGTTTTGGGGTTTT